TAGGACATGCTTGGGGCAAAACATGGCGGATTTCTTTTGTTTTCTCAAGAAACTGACCCCACAATGCATTAGAAATAAAGTAGTGACATTGATAATAATTTTAGACGTCTTGTATAATATTTTAAAACTATTCCTCTACACAGGTAGCCCAATTTGTGTTCGGTAAAATGGCTGAAGGAGAAAARAAGACCAAGCTCGATGAATTACTGCTGTCAGGGAATTTTAAGGTCGTGTATATGACTTACAATTGGGCTTTAAACTCCAAGTAGATAAATAATAAACATACTTCCCAGTTGATCTCAAACACTGTCATATGGAAACCATCGTAGATAATTTATACAACTATTTCATAGCCGCGTTACATACAGTCAATTCCATTAACGTTATTCAGTTGCCAAGATGAAAACAAAGTCATGTTCATCATATCATATTGTTTTTTAATTTCTTTGCAAGAATATTCAARATAAAGTTCCAAAACGTCTTTACAACGTTAATAACATGCATTTAATTCGCTATTAATTAAAGTTTATAATTATAATTCATCCTGAAAAAAGAAGCAAACAAAAAAAAAACGTTTTTATGCTAATGGCTTTGTTGTAGTTGTCTTTATGTCTTTTCAAGGGAACAACCCGGTTTTAATGGGGTTGACTGTATTTAATTTAAGATTGAAAGACGAATAAATAGCCTGCGTATTGTAGGGGTGAGTCGGAGGGAAGTCTATGTGGTCCACCAGCTACACTCTGCTGCGCTGTCTCGTTGTAAGAAATTTATTAATCTATTTAAATTAATTATTGTTTTATAATAATTTGTAAAGAAATACCTTGTTAATGTCAATTCTCTCTTTTTTTCCCCTCAATTTCATCTAATCACAATACCCGTTAAACAAAAAGAATGGAGGAGTGGGAATTGCTCGTCTTTTAGTGCATGGTGAAAATCAGCTTTTAGGCTGTCCACCTCAGGGGCTTATGAAAATACCATAGTGATAATTGAAATAATTAATATATAATCATTAATCATTGCTGTATTCAGCTTTTTCTTGATGCCTTCCTCTCCGACCAACCACATAATTGAACATAAGGCCTTGCCAACAGGATGTCAGAATTT